CGGTATTTGCATAGGCCACGCCCCCCTGGCCACGCCCCGCCGCGGGCGGGGAGCTACGGAGAGCGGGCGGGGACGTGTGGAGAGACGGCGTTAACGTATAGGGAGCGGGCAGTAACGTATAGGGAGAGGGCATTAACGTATAGGGAGCGGGCAGTAACATATAGGGAGCGGGCAGTAACGTATAGGGAGCAGGCATTAACTTATAGGGAGAGGGCAGTAACCTATAGGGAGAGGGCAGTAACCTATAGGGAGCGGGCGGGGATGTATAGGGAGAGGGCATTAACTTATAGAGAGCGGGTGGGAATGTAGAGAAAACGGCCATTAACGTATAGAGAGGTGGTCAGAATGTACAGGGAGGGGTGGGAACGTATACAGAGCGAGCATCAATGTATAGAGCACAAGCATTAATGTATAGAGAGCAGGGGGATGTATAGAGAGCATTAACGTATAGAGAGCAAGCACTAACGTATACAGAGTGGGCATTAGCATATAGGGAGCTGGCAGAAACATATAGGTAGCAGGTGGGAATGTATAAGAATGCAAGCATTAACGTATAGCAAATAGTAATGTATAGACAGTGGGCATTAACATTTAGATATCGAGCATTAATGTATAGAGAGCAAATGGCAACCTATAGAGAGCAAGCACTAACATATACAGAGCAGGTGGGGACACATGGAGGGCACATGGGAATGTATAGAAAATGGAGGGTAATGTATAAACAGTGTGCAATCACGTATAGGGAGCATATGGTATCATACAGGGAGCGAAAGGTACAGAGTGTATACTAACAGCACATGGCAACATATAGATAATCTACAGTAATGTATGGTAACACATAGGGAACATACAGAGAGCGTAGAGCAATGTACAGAGAGCATATGGCATCGTATAGGCAACGCAATGTATAGGTGACAGAGGGAGCATATGGCATTGTGTGGGGGCCAATGTATAGGTTACATCTAGAGAGCATATGGCTTCGCATAGGCAATGCAATGTATAGGCTATGTATAGAGAGCATATGGCATCGTAGGGGTGGCAATGCATAGGTTACAGAGCGTACGGCATTGTATAGGTGATGCAATGTATAAGGGCCATAGAGAGAGAATATGGCATCGTATAGGCAACAATGTATAGGTAACAGAGCATACAGAGTCGTATAGGTGACGTATAGAGAGTGTAGTATGGAGAGTGGGCATTAACGTATAGAGAGCGGGCACGGACATATAGGGAGCGGGCATTAATGTATAGGGAGCAGGCAGTAACATATGGAGAGCAGGCATTAACGTATAGGGAGTGGGGAGGATGTATAGGGAGAGGGCAGTAACATATGGAGAGCAGGTGGGGACGTATAGGGAGTGAGCAGTAACGTATGGAGAGCAAGCATTAATGTATAGGAGCAGGCAGTAATGTATGGAGAGCAGGCAGGGACGTATAGGGAGCATTAACATACAGAGAGCGAGCATTAACATATAGAGAGTGGGTGGGAACGCAGAGAGAATGGGTGGAAATGTATAGGGAGCAGCCATCAACGTATAGAGAGGGATGGGAACGTAAAGAGAGTGGGTCAGAACGCACAGGAATGGCAACGTATAGCAAGCAAGCATTAACATATAGAGAGCATTAACGTATAGAGAGTGGGCAGTAAGATATAGGTAGTGAGCATTAATGTATAGAGAGCAGGTAGGAACATATAGAGAGTGACTGCTCATGTATAGTGGGTGGCAACATATAGAGAGCGAGCACTAACGTATAGAGAGTGGGCAGGGACATATGGAGGGCACGTGGAAACATATAGAGGATGGATGATAATGTATAAACAGTGTGTAGTCACATATAGGGAGCATATGGTATCATACAGAGAGCGAAAGGTATAGAGCGTGTAGTAACAGTGCATGGCAACATATAGGTCACACAGTAACGTATGGGTAACGCATAGGGAACATACAGAGAGCGTAGAGCAATGCACAGCGCATACGGTATCATATAGGCGATGCAATGTATAGGTGACGTATAGGGAGCATATGGCATTGCATGGGTGACACAATGTATAGGCAACATATAGAGAGCGTACGGCATCGTATAGGCAATGCAATGTATAGGCTATATAGAGAGAGCATATGGCATCGTATGGGTGACAATGTATAGGTTACAGAACGTACGGCATTGTATAGGTGATGCAATGTAAAGGGGCGTATAGAGAGAATATGGCATCGTATAGGTGACACCATGTATAGGTAACAGAGCATACAGCGTCGTATAGGTGACGTATAGAGAGTGTACGGCATCGTATAGGCAACGCAATGTATAGGTTATGTATAGTGAGCATACGGCATCGTGGGGGTGACAATGCATAGGTTACAGAGCGTACAGCATTGTATAGGCGACGCAATGTATAGGGGATGCATAGAGAGAATATGGCATTGTATAGGCGACAATGTATAGGTAACAGAGAGCATACAGCATTGTATAGGTGACGTATAGAGAGCGTACGGCACCGTATAGGCAACACAATGTATAGGTTACGTACAGAGAGCATACGGCACTGTATAGGCGCAATGTATAGGGGACATACAGACAGAATACGGCATCCTACGGGCGATTCAACATATAGGGGACGTATAGGGCGCGTATCGGAGCGCGTTGCGCAGGCAGCGCCAGGCCCGCTCCGCGCCGGCTCC